GTTTCGAGAAAAATAATTATAGTACCCTTTTCAGATTCTTTCTCTAAATATATGTTATTTTAATTTAAATTTAAGTAATTACTAGATAGAGGGTAGTATAGTCATTTTACTTGGAACAAGGACCAAAACTACCATAACCATTACAAAAATCTCAAATAAGAACCAAAATTGCAAGAGAAATTTTTTGGGACCAAAGTTGCAAAAATTCAGGTAATACAAAAACTCACAGCCAAACTAGTGTTTTTTTATAATTTTTTTTCTTTGAACTATGTTGTAATCTCTAAATATTATTAAAAGAGAACCTTTAATTCTAAACTGAAGAAATCAGGACCATTAATTGTATTTCAATCCTATATTTTCCACCATTGGATTTTTTCCTGACATCATTCTTGACCAAGGTATTAGTCAAACTTTGTCATTTAATATGCCACCGTTGCCTTCCTTAGTCATCACGTTTAAATGATATATTGTTCATATTATCATTTTTAGGTTTAGGGTGTTGAGAAATTGTTGAGTATGTATCGACTCATTTTGAACTATTTGATTTCTAGTGAGTTTCTTCCCTCCCTCGATTCCACTACGTATCAGAGGAGTAATCGGCCGATATCCCTTGCTCTCTTGACTTCATTACATCATCTACCTGCATTTTTCCACCACCTACAATTCTAAATCTCTCCCATCCAGGTTCGTTTTCTTTCTTTCGTTCTTCCTAAACCTAACCCTAAACCAAACCATGATTACTTATGTTACTCAAATGTTCTTTTTTCAATATGCAATTGATTTTCTATTTTTTTTTTCAGATTAATGGAGAAGAAGTTGAAGGTTTTCATTCCTTCGGCAGATGTATAGAAGACTTCGATGGTATTGAAGGTTCAATAGAATTTCATTAGCTGGCAATGTCGTCATTTTTGAATTGATGGTAAATACTACCATCGTAGGGTTAAAGGTTTTTTTTAATTGTGTGTTATTTTATCTTGATTATTTCTCTACACCCTAAGATATCAATTTTTTACGTAAGCTTTTACAAAACCAGAGGACGAACTTTGAAGAAGAAGGATATTTGGATAAAAACCACTTCCATGTTTTCATGTTTGCAGTGATCGGAGCTTAGAAAGGAACGAAAAATTATATGGATGTGTTTGGTGATCGGAAGAACGAATATATCGATTGGAGTTTGGAAAGTGGAAAGTGGAAAGTAACGAAAATTCATATCCGTAAGCCTTTTTACCTTTCTTGTGTTTTCTTATTCAGATCTCAACATTTACATATGTAGTGTTTTTTTCTTAAGGCTTTTATTATATTTACACTTGCATTATAACAGGGGTTGGATGTGGATGGATTCATGGTTGCGACCATAGAACTTTTTGCTGGTCCACTTACTTATAGGCCTCTATTTTGATAATCAAGAGTTATTCTATTGGCAGTTCACTTAAAGGAGCCGGTGTGAATAAAATATGGCCAAAGACAGCTTCCCGAAAGGGGAGAAAATGTATGGGGTGCACTAGATTATCAAGACAAAAAGACTACCAATTAGCTTGATTCTTTGATTTGGTTCAGACAAGCATTCGTGTTTTATGATTTTTGAATCCGAGTTAGGTTGCTTTTATTATTTTTCTTCTTTTATTTGTGAGTATGAATCATTTTGTTGTTTGATTTTGTTCTTTTCATGATTTTTATTTTGTTCTTTTCCGGGGATGATTTTCAGCGAGGAAAGCCATGAAGATTGAGAGGTCATAAAAATTGGTATAATTAACTTATTTTTCATATATTTATGTTCTTTAATTAATTATTTATTGAAAGTTAATTTCTTTTGCAACTTGATGTTGCAGGAGGGATGTCAAGATTGTTACATTATGAGAAGCACATGGAGCATATTGATGGGAAATCCAAAATTTCTTTAAAGCATTTGTTGTGGGTGGATTGATTAAGGGTTATGTGATCTCGACTTTTGTAGTCATGAAGAAGGTAAGTTTAAAAGATATTATAGTTTCGTCATTAAAGAATGGAGAGATTAGTATCAAATGAATTTGATTATCCTGGATGCCTTGCTACCTATAAGATGAAAAAAGTTTCTCATTCTATGAACTCTATTCTACCTTTCATTTTGTTCTATGAACATTATTATTGACTGAGTTGTCCCATATTTGTAGGAATTTTTTATTATGCCATATCCTTTGTGGTTGTAGGAATTGGGTAGGACAAGCATGGAAGTGATTGCCATCGCATGTAAGCAATTAAAATACATGCTAATTTTATATTAACCTTACTTTTCTTAGGTAACGAGCATGTTTCCTGGAAATTGAATTATTATTATTTATTTTAATTTTATGTAGTGGTGGCCGGTTGTGGTCCTGAGCAGAAAACACCACCGTCAGGCTACTGTTGCGCTTTATTCTCCTCTTTATTATTCGTTGATGATTATGTTTTATGTGTTAATTAGTAAAATGATTAGACCATTAGGAAAGTGAAGATGACATAGACTAAACCAAAATAGAAAAAGAAAACCTGAAACTAAAACTGTGTAAAGTGATATCAGTACATGAAGATGAATACTTAACAATTGAAGTAGAAAAATGTGATATGTTACTTATGGGGGTTGAAAAACAATAGACAAAATGTATTTGTTATATATAAAAGAAACCCAAATCAAGGTTATTTTTTCACTTTTCCATCATTTATTTTGTAACCAATTTCAAGAAGGTGGCTAGGAATGGCGGTGGATTTATCTTCTTTCCTTTTTTTTTAATTGATTTTTCGTCTTGATTCTTTAATGTAATTGTCTGGTGTGGTAATGATGTTTTGTAATTCCATATCATACGCCTAATGCTAATCACTCAAAGTGTAGCTTAGAAAACATTATTGTTAACTAAGTTTTCATAGTTTACAAACCATACCAAATTATAATAGATCATGGATGTAAGAATTATAATTTAATCCTAAAAAATGGAATTATGTACTATCAATGTCCTTTCTAATAGATGCAAGAGTATATTTTCTTTAAATATGTACATATTATGTATTATGTATTTGTAATATGTGACAGATGTACAATATATAATGCTTAACATACAAGTAACACATTATATGTATCGGATTTTACGGTTAAGTGGCCTTCACCTAATAATATGGTTGATAATATTCATAAACGACCTTGGATTGAATTACAATCATGGCGTGCTTCTGCAAGGAAGGTAGGATGTTGTACCTTCTGTATAGTGGTGAGTCACATTGAATTTTGATTCATAGAGAAATTTTGGAAGTTCTATTTTATAATCAAATAATCTTTGTTTGGTATTTTTTTTCATGAAGTTAGTTGTTGAATCAAGGGTATTATGGTCATTTTGCACATTCCCAAAGATAGCTTCTTTTATGTACAAAAAAATTTCATAAATCGCATTGTACTTTTAAAAAAAAAAATCGCATTGAACTTTGCATTGAACTTTTTTGGATTATTTTTAGATGATATGGAAAAGTTTTTTTTTTTGGTATATTGAAGCTCATTTGTAGGACTGTTTTCTGGAAACAAGTTTCATTAATAGCATTGAACTTTGCAAAAAAAAAAAAAATCATTAATATCATCGTACTTTCAAAAAAATTACTTTGCAGATTCTTATTAGTTGATCTAGAAAAGTTTCTATTTTTTGTCTCATTTATACGACTGTTTTTTTTTTTTTTTGAAATTTCGTTAATGGAAGGTACATTGTCACATATAGACCATTTATGTATTCTTTTTTTAAATATGGACCATTTATGTAAATTTTTTCACAAATAAACCATTTATGTAATATATAATTTTAAATATTCATTAGTTGGCAATTAATATGATAGTTTTTTTGGGAAAGAAATGTTTTTAGTATTGAACTTTGTAAAAAAAAGTTTTTTAATAGCATCATACTTTTAAAAAGTTATTATTTTTGGATTATATTTAAGATGATATCAAAAAATTTCATTTTTTTTGTAAATTGAAGCTCATTTTTAGGTAATGGTGATGATTATTTCAATGATTTTTTGGTTTATCTTAAAGGAAAGAGTTGGTTGAATAAATGGTTACGTAGAGTTAAAAAAATTAATAAACATAAAGGGTATTTTTGGTATATGGCTGGAAATAATTTAACAAATAGCAATTCTTTGAGTTGAGAAGATTTCATATTCATGTGGTTTCCATAGAATTTTAAAAACAGAAGCAGGTTATGTTTTTTAAGGCCTGAAGGGTATATCGGTTTTTTTTTAGAAATTAAGGATGTTTACAGTTTTTTTTGGAGCATTCTGCTTCTGAAGTTACTATCCAGATGGTAGCATCTTTTCTGGAAGGTGTGCATCATCGTTTACGATTTTACCCTTGACTTTGATGAAACTTCATCGTTTACGATTAATGATATTTACAGTGTCGATTAATGATTTATTTACAGTTACAAACTTATTTGGTAAAATTTTTTTTGCCAAATAAGAAAAATGAAGATGTGGAATTTTGGACTGGGTTGGTTTAGAAAAAACTTTTGGTAGCATTTCATTGAGAAAATGTAGTTACAGGCAAACTGAAGTTAAGTGACAAGGTATGTTCTAAACTATACAAACAATATGGGTATTCTTATGTACAGATCGAGTCAGGAGACTACTTTGGCTACACATGGGATTTTTGAATTTATGGGAAAAGAAACATGATTATTCTTTTAAGAAATGAACATAAAGGATCTTAATAATCATACCAAGGATTTCCTCAGGTCATTTGGGCAATTGGTTAAACATATATTTTTAAATAATTAAATCAAGTCTGAAAGGTTTTCACAAATTGCAGTTACTTGGAGTGTGGTAGCCTGTATATTTATCTTGAATTTAGCTCCCTACTTGAGTAGAAGCTCTTCATTAAGGTCAGATGATTTATGATATTAAACGATGTTGATTTATTTATTTATATTATAATTACAATTACAATTTACAGGTGGTTATAGAGGAAATTGGATGGCTTGATTTTTATTCACCACTTAGATTAAAATTCCATCATGATGGAAGGAAGAAGATCAAAACAACAAGTTATCCAAGGGAAAAAATATATTATTTATACTGTTCGCTATGATGTTTTTCTCTGGATATGCTCATTATATTGGTTCTTCCCAATAACCAGTGGATGCAAAGCTGTTTCAAAGGTACATCATTAATTTTTAAAATTTTAATATATTTATTTGCATATTCTAATTTATATATGTTTTCATGTTTGTACTATGTAGTCGGTAATTATTATTGTGTTGTCTTGAAGAGTATTGGGCTGCTTATGATAAATCTGGCTAAGCCAATTTACCAACCACACATTCTTTAATATCATTGTACTTTGAAAATAAGTGGATTATTAAAAATTTTTATTTTTTGTTTTTGTTTTTGTGGATAGAGAATTAATGAACTTTTCGGAGAGAGTTCGTCTGAGTCAACACCATCTATTCCAAGTAATAAAGGGACAATAAAGTCGTCTACCTTATTAGAAGCTCAACAAAATCCGGTTGACATGATTGATGAAAAGGATAAATAGTCAACATATATCTACAATTAAGAATGTATGCATCACATGACAAAACAAGATGGCCTTGTACTGTGATTAGACTGGAATGGAACTGAGACCTAGACTGATGTCAGTTGGAAAATACCCTAGAAAGCTTATCTAACCTTGTTAGTGGGAATATTAGTAATATTTTATACAACTAACAACATGTATCTATATTTCATAAATATAATATGGTTTTTGCAATCCTATAAAGCTCAAAGAGAGGGGAGGTGGAGCTGAAACAAAGATTTTGTATTAATGCTTTATAAGGGAATCCACCATGAAACTGGATGTTGTGTGTAATGTAAGTGTCCGCATATGCAATTATTTTTTCAAATAAAATTTGTTAATAATTATTTTCAACATTTAGGATATATAGATGGGCACTCGGTTACTATTTATAGATGTAAGGGACACTTTTACACTTTCTGATTGAACAATTATATGGCAAAAATATTACAAACAGAGAAAAAAGAAAAATAAATCCAACACTCAACGATCTTTCCACTCTTGTCCCGATTACAATCTAATGTTAATACCCGTAAGTTTCTAAGATCTAAATTGAAGTTATTAATTATTTTTTATTGGATTTCATTGTTTTTTGTAGGATCAGGTTTTAGCTGTAGGGCATGCAACAATCAAGACATACAACCCATCATTGGTGAAACAAATGGAAAGAACTAAGTATGAATAGTTTGACAACTGTTTTAGTCTAAAAATATAAAACATGGTGTTAGGCATTTTAGTAATTTGGAAAAGTTTCAGTCTAAACTAACTAAGTATGAAGAGTTTGGCAGGGTTTCAGTCTAAATTTATAAAAAGATGATTAAGGGCCTGTTGATCATGGGCATTTTAGTAATTTGGCAAAGTTTCAGTTTAAACTTACCAAGTATGAATAATTTGGCAATGTTTCAATCTAAACTTATAAAAAGATGATTAACGCATTTTTAGTTATTTGGAAATGTTTTAGTCTAAAAATACAAAACATGATTAGGAGCATTTTAGTAATTTGACAAAGTTTCAATCTCAACTTGCATGTAATGTTTTAAAAATTTTAGGCTGAAAAATTTCTGTTTGAGAAATTAAATTTGTATGAAGAAAGATAGAAATGGTTTCATTTTTATCTTTCTCTCAATAACTAAAAAATGATTATATAATCATTTGAAAGTAGAAGTAATTGTTGACAGCACGTAGATCGAATATTCATAACGATTTATATATTAGTTTTACATCTATCTTTGTATATAATAATTTTTTGTGAAACATTGATTAGTTATTATGATTTATATGTACTTTTTTTATATGTTTCCCGCGTTTTAAGCGGGTTATAATCTAGTTGTATTTAAACATTAGATTTGCATCTGCATATATATGAGATTCAGCCCTGTTGGTGTGGAGATTGTTGAACTACTTCTCTCGGGTTTGACAAATTAAAAAAAAACTACTTTTTCTTATTTATTTTTATATAGGGAGGAATTGCTCAAGACCTTCGTACAAATGGGCATAAAAGATTAACTTATCGCCCCATATCTGTTGAAACTGGAGTCATTGCTCAGGTAAAAACCTTTTCAAATTCTTTTTTATTTAATAAATACACTTAGTTTATGTTCTTAATGAGTTTAATTAATGACAGGCAAATGGTTCAGCAAGAGTGAAGATGGGTAAAACTGAAGTCATAGTTTTGCCTTGTCTTCTCAACTTGTTGACCAATAACCACAAAAAAAGTATTAAGAAAGAAGCTTGTTGGACCATATCAAACATCACTGCTGGCAACAAGAAGCAGATTCAGGTCATAATTTGAAATTTTCATCAAGATTTAAGCATCAAAAATTATTTTCTTGACTGATATATCTACTTTATGATTTTTACAGACAGTCATTGAAGCAAATATCATTGGCCCTCTTATTCATCTGCTTCAAAATGCAGAATTTGATATCAAAAAAGGAGGCTGCATGGGCTACCTCAAATGCTACTTCGATTGGAAGCCATGACCAAATCAAGTGAGATTCATAAACTTAAATTTTCATTATAATTTGTTAAGTATTTACATCTCAAAAGCTATATATTTACTGATAATAAAATGGTGGATGCAGGTATTTGGTAAGTGAGGGATGTATTAAGCCCTTGTGTGATTTACTGATATGTCCAGACCCAAGAATAGTGACAGTATGTTTAGAGGGGCTTGAGAATATATTAAAAGTTGGTGAAGCAGAAAAGAATTTGAGAAGATCAGGGGATGTGAATCTTTATGCACAAATGTTTGATGATGCAGAAGGGTTGGAGAAGATTGAGAATTTACAGAGTAATGATAACAACGAGATTTTATGAGAAAGCAGTGAAGCTTCTTGAGACTTATTGGTTGGAGGAAGAGGATGATGCCATGCCACTTGTCGATGCAGCTACAACTCAGCCTCCTGTTGGTGATGTTTTTGTTCCTTCTGGTGGATTCAAGTATAATTGAGGTAGATAATAATAATATGTGTGTTTTTGCATACCCTTGGAATGGAATGACTGATTCCGATGGAATTGAAAAACATCATGTTTGGTTTGAATTTCATTCCATGAGGGTGGGGTGTTTTTTTTAATGCGTTGAAGGAAAGGAATGATAATGTTATACTTATAAATTAGTTTTATTTGTATTATCTATTTTTCTTCAATAAGAAAAATCTTTTTAAATTTATTCTTAAGTTTCAATCAAATTAATATTTTTCTTAATTAACATCAAAACAATTATTTAATTATATTATTTTAAGATTTTATGGTATATAGTTTTTTAATAAACATTTAAGAGCTTTTTTATTTGCTTTTTGAAATAACATATATAGTATATAATAAAATGGTTCATTCCATTGGAATGAAAAATAAGTTTTTTTTTTCTTGATGGAATGGAATTTGATCTTTTCTTTTTATAGAAGGTAATGCTTTCCATTTTGTTAAGTTGGGGGTGATTCTTTTATTCCATTAGTTTTTTAATATTTTTGAAACTTTTTTTTATTGATTTACAATATTATTTTCTGAAAATAACTAGACATTAATTCTATCTAGGTTGTAATCAGCTTTTGTTATTTTTTAACTTTGTTGATAGCAGTCTGAATTAGGAAGACCAAGTTGTTCAGCCCCTGGCAAAGGAAAAGTTTTCATATACATCGATTGCAGTCCCACAGCAGCACCACAATACGAGGTTCAAAATTGTTTTCTTTTGGTCCTCCAACATTTATTGAATACACACAATTTACCCTTACAAAACTTGCAACCATTTTAGGGAAAAGGAGGTGAAGAATTTTCAATGGAACTCTCTGCGGCCTTGCAGCAATTTCTTTTGGGTGGTAAAACTTGAGCGGGTATGTAATGTACCTTTCAAAGAAGCTTGTTGCAGTTAATGGTTTGAAGTGATAAGTTTCGCAAGTTATAAAGATGGAAAATGTATAGTTTGAAGATATTATATTCAATATGTATTTTTGTAAGAAGTTTTTGTTGAATAAATAAATGGTGTGATAGGTGAGGAACCTGGGGAAGCCAGTTGAACTTGTTGGACAATATTACTTAGATGGGGCTGATGAGGTACTTAATTACTGTCTTTCTCTTTCTTACATATTACATATTACATATTACATATTAGGTCTTAGGATTAGGATAGAATGGAATGGAATTAGTCATTCTATTACTGAGTTGTAACATGTTGCAGGTTAGCTTTTTTAATATTACCGGCTTTCGCGATTTCCCTCTGGGCGATTTGCCAATGTTGCAGGTACATATATATGCTCTTTCATTCTCCTGTATTAATTAATGTCCACATGTGTTTTCTCTAAATAATATTATTATTATCTAATTTTATAGATATTAAAATACACATAAGAGAATGTTTTTGTACCACTTACAGTTGGTGGTGGTATAAGAGATTTCACTGATGCAAATGGAAGGTACTGTTAAGTGTTAGTTGTAAATATGTAATATGTACTATGTTGTTGTGAAGAATTTAATAAGTGTTTATATTATTAATAATATAGGTACTATTCTAGTTTGGAGGTGGCTTCAGAATATTTCAGATCTGGTGCAGATAAGATATCTATCGGGAGTGATGTTGTTTATGCTGCAGAAGAGTATCTAAAAACAGGAGTAGGCAACTAACTTTCAATCTTTATATTTCGTTTCATATATAATGATTACTATAATTCATGTACTTTTGTTTTTTTTTTTCAGGTAAAAATGGGAAAGAGGAGCTTAGAACAGATTTTCCAGAGTGTATGGGAATCAGGTCTGGAGTAATTAAAATTAAAATTTGAGTCTATATACATTATTATACAAAGAAAGACATGTAATGTAAATATGTTATGATGTTTATTTTAAAATTTAAAGACGATGGTTGTAAGCATTGATCCACGGAGACAGTATTTGACAAGTGATGAGGTTGGATTCAAGGACGTTAAACTAGACAGTATTTGACAAGTGAAAAACTATAATTACAGGTATACTTTTCTTTTCTCCTTAATGCCCGCTTCTGATGAAGTTCATTTCAACTTGTAATGTGGACTAAAGGTTTTTTTTCACATTAAGTTTTCCTGTTTTCTCGGTTCGATCAGAATCAAGACATACAAATTAGTTGTGCTCCATCAATCACTGTGATGCAAACTCCCTTTTGAATAAGGTATGAAAGTGTTAATTACTTGGGGAACTATTTGGTTGGATGGAATGGAATTATGATGAAAGGGGTAATGGAATGAGTCGTTAATTCTATTCTGAATACTAATGTGTTGATGATGATAACAGGTATCATGTGGAAACAGAAGCATAGCAATAAGAAGTAGAAACAAGAAGGTGTCCCTTAATAGCAATGTAGTATTAGGTTATATAGTTAGGGAAAACCTCTTAATAACAATGTACAATCATATCCCCTTAATACCAATGTACGTATTACAATTTTTTGACATGACGTTATTGGATGAAATTGCTTGTTTTGGTATATATTTGTTTGCATAGTTTTGTATTATGCGTAAATGAGTATCATAAAGACGTGTCGTAAATGTATATCGTAAATGGTTGCTGAAGTTTATGACATGCAAATGCGTGTCATCTTCATTTATGACAGGGGCTTTAATGATACGGAATGTGTGTCCTAAACGTGCGTCGTAAGGTTACGACACGCAAATGCTTGTCGTCTTCCTTTATGACAAGGCCTTCCTTGATACGCATTGCGTGTCGTAAATGAGTGTCGAAAATGTGTGTCGTAACTGCGCGTCGTAAATAGACGACGCGCAAAAGCATGTCGTCTTTCGTTATGACAGGGCCTTCCTTGACACGCATTTGTGTGTCGTCTGAGCGTTTTACGACACGCATTGCGCGTCGTAAAATGCTATTTTTCTAGTAGTGATGGTCATAGGGATTCATTCCTGCTAGCTGATTTTTTGGCTTGAGTTATTCGCCACCTTCTTTCTCACTCCTTGTGGATAATCTCTCCTTATAGTTCGTCCCCTCCTAGTTTATTTTTGATTCTACTCTTTTGAGTTCATTGGGTGTGAACCATGAGAGAGATTCTGGTTTGGGTCCTTATCATCCAAACAAGGTGGTACGCACGAGGAGTCAAGCGTGAAGATCTTTAGCTGCAAAAGAGATATGAGATTCTTCTTTGTATTTTCGATTTCATAGGGTAGAAATAATAGTATGAAACCATAGATCCATAGGTTGCATGTACACTTAGGTATATCGTTGTTGTTTTCCTTTTTCGCTACCTAGTTTTAAAGTGTATTTGATGCCTAGAAAACCGAAGAGTGGTATCAGAGCCATTGGTTCATAATTACATTCACCCTAGATCCATGTTTTTTGAAAATAATTGTTCGAAATTGAATGATGGAAGAAGAAATTAAAAATTCGTAATATGTTAAAACCCTAGTCCCAGCCACGATGTGGCTAGGAGCCCACGACGTGGCCTCGACATATTTAGGGTTTTCAGAATTTTCTCTATTTTTCAAATATGAAGTTTTGATAAATATGGATAAATGCCAAATTTAAATTGTTTTAAATCTGGAAATTTGAATAAATATTATTCAAATTTGTTTATTTGAATTTGAATATTTATTTATCATTTATTAAAATATTTAATATTATTTATAATTGAGATTTATAAATTTGAATATGAACCCCTCATGTGTTATTAATTGTTATATTGCATCCTTGTAATCAATTTGAATTAATAATGGAGAACTAAATTTAAAGAGTTTTAAATTTACCCCTTATATATATGTAAGATCCATATCTATTGTATGTATAAGAGAATTACAATATGCGTCCTTGCATATTTTAAATATTGACATTTGCCAGTCTTACCTCGACTAGGCTCACCCATTCTAATGTAGGTGTTTAAGGAGGTCTCTTTGATTCCTAATGAGGTCGCTTTTTAAATATGCTTTGTGCTTACCACCCTAACCACCCTATTGCATTTTGAGAATGGAGTTACCGAAATGGTCTGATAGTGATAATGGTCAATCTAAAAGTATTCTAAATACAATAATAAAATAAAATCCTGTTTTATTTAATTAAAAGTGAATCTTATGTTATCCATAAAAATTGCACATTCTCTTTATAACTTGTTGATGGAGCCCGTGTGGTTAACCAGCACATTAATTTACGAGTATAGGTAAAGAATGATGTGAGACTCGTGAATCTCAAGCGTAACTTGAGTGGGGGACCATGCAATGTTGTATAGGTGATTCACCATCTGTTTTGTGATATGCGGCATCCCCATAACTGAATTTAAGATGAACATAATCCGAGATTAATAGGCCATTGATAGTCAATGAATCTCAAAAAATCTAGGAATTTCATAGTGATTGAAATTAACAAAGAGCTTTGTATACCTAAATAACTTTATGGTGTGTTTACGGCATCCCTTTACACATCATGAGGCCAAATATGGATCCTAGCCTTAATCTAATAATTTTTTTAGGGTGATTATTGATTAAGGATTTATATCAAACTAATTGGAATATTATCTTTTGTAGATGTCGATTCCAGCCAACAACAACAACAACAATCCTCCTGTTCCTCCTCCTCCTCCTCTAACTCAAAACTCAAGCTTTTCACTAATGTCAGTTCTTAATAGGGAAAGACTCAATGAGGATGGATCCAACTATCTTAATTGGATCAGGACTTTGAAATTCACGTTGAGATATGAGAACAAAGAGTATGTTCTCGATGATGATGTTCCCATACTTGGAGAGAATTCTACCCCTGAAGAAGTTACTGCCTACCACAAGCATTACGATGAACCGACCAAAGTAGCTTGCCTTATGTAAGAAATTTGAAAATTAGGGCGCATTTGACATAAACCAGAAGATCGATGACATGTTCCAAGAGCAGGTTATGCAAGAACGATTCGAGATCGTTAAGTCCCTCGTGGTATGTAAAAAACAAGAGGGAGCTTCTGCGTGTGCGCACGTCCAAAAGATGAAGTTGTACATAGACATAATTAGGAATCTAGGTGTGTAGCTACCTAAGGAGTTGACCATTGCCATGGTCTTGAACTCGCTTAGCGGTTCATATTCGCAGTTTATCATGAACTTCAATATGAACAACTTCGACAAGACTTTGATGGAGTTGCATGGCATGCTTAAGACAGCTGAAGCGAGCATGGAGAAACCCAAGAACTTCAACCCTACTACTCCAGTCTTGGCTATCGATCGTGTTGCTGGTAATAGGAAAAGGGTTTCTCATCCCAAAGGAAAGGGAAATGGTAAGGTCGAACAGTGTGACCAAGCTCCCAAGAGAAAAGTCCAAGCTGAGATAGCTCCTTCTGCTGATCCAAGTGAGGCCGTTTGTTTTTACTGGCAGTCAAAGGGACACTGGAAGCGTAGTTGCCCCAAATACCTCGAGGACATTAAAAGGGCAAAGTCAAAGTAGTTGGCACCTCAGGTATGTTCATGACAGAACTCCATAGCACATCTACTTCTAACTCTTGGATTCTTGATAGAGGATGTGGTACTCACATTTGCTCTAATATGCAGGGAATAAGACAAATTAAGAAGTTGAGGCATGGTGAGCTCAACCTAATCATGGGAAACTGGCACAATTCAGCTGTTACAAGGATTGGGAACTATGAGCTCATGCTTAGTGATGGTGTTTATATTAGTTTATTAAATTGTTGCTACTCGCCTGATATGGCACGGAACATTATTTCTTTTCATGCACTTTGTAAGGATGGTTATTGTTTTTCGTTTGATAATGATAATTATGACATTTTGGTTTATAAGAATGGTTGTTTTAATTTCAAAGATAGTCCTTGTAAAGGTGTGTATGAAAGTATTGTTTGTGTTGGTGAAATTGATAAACTATTATTGAATGTTGATTCGTCTAATAGTGAATTAGATAAATCATGTTTGTGGCATTGTCGACTTTGCCATATAAACAAGAAGCACATTGCCAAGCTCTAACAGGATGAGATCTTGGAATCATTTGACCTCAAATCGGATGATGTATGCGAATCTTGCTTACTTGGCAAGATGACAAAGGCGCCATTCACATGCCACTGTGAAAGAGGCAAAGATTTGTTGGACCTCATCCACACAAATGTTTGTGGACCATTAAAATCCACCATAATACATGGAGAAAGATACTTCGAGACTTTTACTGACGATTTTAGTAGATATGGATATATCTATCTAATTAAGCATAAGTCGGAAACCTTTGAGGTGTTCAAAGAGTTTCAAAACGAAGTAGAGAACCAAATTGGTAGAAAGATCAAGATGCTCTGATCTGATAGGGGTGGAGAATATTTAAGTCTTGAATTCTACGATCATCTTCAGAATTGTGGAATAGTTTCACAATTGTCTCCTCCCAGAACACCACAGTTGAATGGTGTGGCTAAGAGAAGAAATCGAACACTGTTAGACATGGTTCGATCTATGATGAGTCGAGCTACACTTCCAATATCTTTTTGGGGGTATGCCTTATAGACATCCACCCACATCCTAAAACTCGTACCTACTAAGAAGGCTGCTAAAACACCCTCTGAGATGTGGAGTGGGACACATCCTTCTCTAGCACATATAAAGATTTGGGGTTGCGAGGCTTTTGTTCGTCGCGAGGAGAATCATAAGCTTGAGCCCAGATCGGAGAAGTGTTACTTCATTGGTTATCCACAAAAGTCTTTTGGATACTTCTATTACAAGCCGTCTGAGAACAAAGTGTTTGTTGCTCGAAGGGGATTCTTCCTCGAGAGGGATCTCATTTCCAAAACGTACAGTGGGAGCCCTATTAACCTTGAAGAGCTTCAA